ATTTAAAAATTTATAATTTAAATATATATATTTAAAATTTATAATTGAAGATTATAAATAATAAATATTTATATTTAAATATCTATAATTGCTAACCTCAACGGTGCAACCGTTATACATGATATCGATTAGAGCGCGTCTGAAATTACTGAAATTTTCAATGAAAAGTCTTTTTTGAGCACAAACACTTAAAATTAATGCCATATTCAAAAAATATATAGAAACGTATTTATATAAATAATATTTTACAACTTTTGTATGTCATATCTATCAACAAACTTCATTATTCGATAGGATCAACAGTATTAAGCCCGTATCAGACTACGCATTGAAGATTGAGATTCAAGATTGAAATTTGACCAATCAGAATAAAGAAATTTTAGTCCCTTTTGTTCTGATTGGTCAATTAATTGGTTATTAATCTATCCTAGGCTGTGTTCCGATTCCCCACCCGGGTGCACCCGATATTATAATATACGTGAACGCGGCCAATGTTCGCTGTTCATCGCTGTTTGATGTTTAGAGAAGCGCCAGTGTTTAATTATATTTTTTTATAATTTATAAGCTACTCCACACGCACACACACACACACACACACATATAAACGACTGAGTAGAGTAACGGAATTGCGCATGAAATTGTAACAAGTATGATAACTTACTTTGCTATAAACGGAAAACTAACGAGTAACGAGTCGATATGTCTTCTTTGTTGCAAGGAAACAAATTTGACTGCCGGTTAGTCTTTTATTTTTATACATAAAATAATGAGCAGAGCTGAAAATAAAAGCCCACTTGTACTGTAATTAAGTAACTTTTTAAATGTAATACTTTAGAAGAGAAACATATATTTTAAGATATTTTAACAGTGATTCAATATTCTGCTTATAGGGTTAGTTCGGTGCTAAACAAAAATGTTCGATCTTACGGAAAGAAGTACATGTTTGATAATTCCAATGAAACGTGTTGGAATTCTGATGCAGTGAGTAATTAAACTTTTTTATAGATTAACTCTGTCTCTGTCTGTCTGTTCCTCTCTCTCTCTCTCTCTCTCTCTCTCTCTCTCTCTTTAAAAATTAACACGAACAATATATTGTAGGGAAGCCCACAATGGATTGTTATTAACTTTGAAGAAGAATGTAACGTTTCTAGTTTTGAAATAGAATTTCAAGGTGGATTTGTTGGAAAAGATTGTCATGTAGAGGCTGGCAATGACAAGAAAGATATGACAGTTGTGGAAGCATTTTATCCAAAAGATGCAAATAAACTACAGCGATTTAACTTAAAGACCCAGATCAAAGCCAAGACTTTTAAATTTGTATTTAATCAAAGTACTGATTTTTTTGGCAGGATTATTATATACAATTTGTCATTATACTCATGATATTAAATATATCTTGATAACTTTATAATATTACATAGGATATTTCGGCGAAAGATATTTACACAAATACTGCAATTTGTGGACAGATTATTTTATTTAATTCTGCAATATATATTATACAATTTTTGTTGTTTTCTGTTTATTAGTAGAATAATAAGCATTAATAAGTAAAAAGATCTTTTCTGTATATATGTGTTATTTGTTTAATTAATTACATAGGAGTTTCTTAGATTACATAAAGATTAATTGATGTATATACTTTGATTAACTATTAATTTATATAATTTGTTCTCTTTAACTAAAATTTTTATTTTTTTTTCTTGCATTGCATTATTCTACTTTTTTTAACTATTATACAATAATAGTTAATATATATCGTACGTAGAGTACATATAAATAATTATTATGAATGATAAAAAAAGAAATTATTTCAATACTACAAAAAATTGTTACATTTACCATGTAGTTTTCCTTATATCGCATTTACAATTGGTTGAGCACTGGCTGGCCGAGCTGAAAAAGGTAATATATCAATATTTTTTATAACATATTTATATATTTGCATTTTTATAATTCATTAATCTTACTTGCGCAGGTTAAAGGCTGAAATTTTATGTCGTCGACAGCAAAACCTCCATTACTGGCGCTTCCTTCGAGAATAAGTCGATATGGAATTCGTGCTTCGATTGTCACTTGGGCTGGCATCCATACTGGTCGTGGATTGTTAAACCCTTTAGCTGTTAGTGACCATAGCTGCAACAATGAAATGACAAGTGTAGAACAAAAGTGCATATATATTCGTTTTCACAAATGAATACTCGGTTTGTATATCGGATACTAAAATATAAAGAGTGTAAAAGTGATTTAAAATTGTTCTTTTCTCAAAACATGATATTCAATTTATATAAATTTTATTCGGTTTTATAGTTTTAATGTTTGTACTGGTTGTCCTTGCTCGTCCTCGTTTTCCTCATCAGCCTTTTCGCTAGGCATCTTGATTACTCGCAAAGCAGTGGACTCTTCCACACCGAACGCGGCGAACCAGAAAGTGAAGCACATAAACTCCTCATCAGGTGAAGCGTCGATGATGGGCGATCGCAATTTAACTTTCGTCGATTGCTTATTCGTCGTGAAGATATCGAAGAAGACAAAGTCGCCGGTTGCACCAAAGGTCCTATCCAATAGTTGAGCCGGTCGATGAGTTTGAAACGCACGCTGCCACATCACGGCCCGATCGTTATCGGATACAGTTATGTTCTCCCATCCGCACAAATCCTTCTCGAAGCTGCAATCTTCCGCGCGAACGGCTGCACTCAATGGTTTTACTGCATGTATGTAAAATATAGGTTTAATACAATATTTAAAATAAGAAAGAAAAATATAAGATAGAGTAATATTACTAACAGACCATTAATTTTTTCTTAAAGGGAGGAGAAGAAAAAAGATAGATGCGAAGAAGAAGATAAAAATATTTACTATTTACCGCTGCAATTGCCTGTATAAAAGGAGATATCATCGATTCCTACACTACCACTTGCTCTATTCGGACCCCATGTGCCTTCGAACACGATATTGAAATTCGTATTTTCATTGATGTTAGCCTGAGCATAGCTCCATGTGGGACCTTGATTGTTGTACAGCTGCCATATCGGTTTAGCTTCCGTCGAAATATCGCCGACTGCTTGCACGTACAATCGCAAGACACCTATAAAGTTACAATTACGTATATTACCCCTTTTCATTTTCGCCGAAGAAAAGTCGCATACCTATGAAAGGTAATAGTACTTGTCGTTTTAAAGGATCAATCTATCCTGCATCGAATTTTAGCTCTTTCTATTTTCTTTGTAAAGATAATTATTGTTGGAAAATAAAAAAGTTTCAATTACATCCCTAATTCTTAAATAAGGATTAAAAGAAAACAAAATCTGAGCTATATACTCGGGAGGAAAATAAAGTATATTACAAAATCAATATTATGATATAAAGATAAGGAATTTGATTTTACTAAAAAAAACTTCTCTTAATTTTTTCTATTGAAGGAAATATCTACTCACCCAAACTAGGACCTGTGGAATCGATGAATGGCTCGAACATAAAATACCAGAACGTAATGCAGAGC